GCCATTAGGTCTTACTCCTGAAACTAGAAGTCACTCCACACTTTTTCCCCCCACTCTCCTACTGCATAAAAGTAGCAGATTGCCTTTATTGAACTGATCTGACCAAATTCTAAATTGGGCAGTTATGTTTGTTCTCTTTACAGTCATCTCCATTTCAACTGAAATAGTCCTCACATCACATCTTAAACTCTGAGGAATTTTGTTTTACTGTTAAAATAGCTACCATGCTCCAACTGCGAGATTCAGTGATCTCTTTAAGCTGACTTAACTCACAGGAGTCTTGTCTGACCTAATTAACAAAAGCTGACAGAGAACTTGCAGATCCTTTCCAGAAGTACTGCAAAAATAACAAATCTTATCAACACATACAGAATAAGAGAGAAAGTGATCTACCTTAGTGGCATCATTTTGCTGCCTCAGTGAAAATCATACACTCATCTGAGCAACAACACAAGAGCTGCACATACATTCTCCCGTAACAAATGCAATTCTGCATCTTTATCCACCTCTGCACCTACAGAAGTCTCCCAAAGGTTCACTTTGTCTTTTCTGCTCTCTCTTCCTTGTCCCTTTGGAGTAGGCACAAGAACAAGCTCAGCTTCCTACAGCGGTGCCAATAATAATATTACTTACTCACTTCCACTCCATATTAATAAAGTCCTGGGGAAGGGAATCACTTTTGTTTGTAAGCCTTTATAATACTAAGAAAGGAAAAGTAGAACCTGCTTTTAATTTCTTAGGTTTCCCACAAAACAAAGTAGGCATCCTGTCCAAACTACAAGGAGTATTTGAGCCACGCAACAGTAACATACATAGAGGGTGCATACACTCAGTGACAGTACAGGTACACACACACACACACATCTGGTCAGCTCTGGCTATCAGGAACTCTGCCCAACTCACCAGCAATTTGGTATAAAGTGTGTAAATAGCAGATTCTGAACACTCACTTCCCATGAACTCCTTCCCAAAGATTTTTTTGCACAATGGCAGAGAAAGTAGGAAAACCCAACCCCAGTAGGGTAAATAAATCAGCGACCTTTTTGACAGAAAACAGTTACTAAATCTTACCGTTCCTGCGCTCATATGAGAAGCCAGGACACAGATCAGAAAGCAAAGAACTGCTTTTTTATTTTCCAGTGTCATGACACTGTACCTATCTATGCACACAGACTATACATTCAAATAGGGGGAAAAAATGTGCTCTTTTCATAGAACCATAGAATGATTTGCATTATAAGGGACCCTTGAGGGTCATCTAGTCCAATCCCTGTGCCACAGGCAGGGACATATTCAAACAGATCAGGCTGCTCAGAGCCCCATCCAACCTGACTTTGAATGTGTTCAGGGATGGGGCATCGACCACTTCTCTGGGCAACCTGTGACAATGTTTTTGTGTTGTAAAAAAACTCTTCCTTATATCTAGCCTGAATCTACCCTCGTTTGTTTTAAAGCCATCAGCCCTTGTCCTATCACAACAGGCTCTGCTAAAAAGTCTGTCCCCAGAACCATAAAAGTCATATCATCTTTACTCCTTTAAAATATATGAAATATTGAAGTTCTATTACTGATTACTCAGTAACAAAGAAGGTGACTTTTAGGTAAGCATAGAATTAACTAGGTTATCATGAACTACATGATCTTAAGGTCCTTTCCAACCCTGACTATTCTATGATTCTATTATTGGAATGGGTTGCCCAGGGAGGTTGTGAATGCTCCATCCCTGTTGGTGTTCAAGGCCAGGTTGGACGAGGCCTTGGGTGATATGGTTTAGTGGGAGGTGTCCCTGCCTATGGCAGGGGGGGTTGGAACTTGATGATCTTAAGGTCCTTTCCAACCCTAACTATTCTATGACTGCTATAGAAAACACCCACTATAAATAACAAATTCCAATAGCTTCCATATCAGTATTACTTGTATCCTTTTCCCTTTCTAATTTGAAAGAAACCTCTTGCATTTCCAAAATCTTATCATTTCGTTAGTATTTTAGGAGTTGTAATACCAGAATCCAACTTCCAAGAGCATAACATATTACAGAAAAGCAAATAACACACCATACATCTTTTTATTTCAAATTCATTGTCACCACAATGATCAACTGTCTGACATTGCTGTGCTGACAATGAATTTCGTGCATTGAGCTCCTCTACGAACCTCCTGCACAAAAATGCCTTTTTCTTCAGTCTCAGCTTCCAGTTGTACTATGACTAGCACTTTGCTTTCACCCTGATGGCAAAAACTACTGAAATATCACAGCCCACTGTAGTATAGTGAATTCAGGCTAATCTGTCCAATATGCATTTCACAGACAAACTAAACTGACTGCACAGCTCCTAGAACTCAAATCTATTCAAGCTTCCGCATGCACAGTCTATTCCTAATAATATCACGGACTTTCTGTGGTCAGAAGGAACTAAGGAAATTGCCAATATTTTACACAAACTAATTTTCTACTCCTGCATCTCTCAAAATTGTGCTTCACTTTGCCCTTCCTTTTCTCATTGTCCTCCTCCCTCCAGTTTTCTGCCAGCTGAGCTATTTTATCTAGGAATGACATAGCATCCCTCTTCAGACAGTGTTTTAATCACTCCAGGTTTCCTGGGCATTACAGTCCAGTTCCTACTGTTTAACTGAAAGGGAAATACAAACCTTACAATGTATCTCAATGGTAACAATAAAGCAAGTTCTTTGAATTTTTGATTGAAACAAACTTGGGTCTTTCAAACCATAAGCCAAGTAAGAATTTTGTATCAAAGCACAAGAACATTTAAGCCTATTCAGAGGCATTAAGAGATGCTGTACATGTTGTCTGACAGCTGTCTTACAGTGCAATGCTACAGAATAATGATGTGCCGTGCCTACTGTTACCATTTATAGGTACTGACCTACTGAAAGCATCTGCAGGAACAATTAGCATTTGAACTTTCACTACAAGAAGAAACTCTTCTACAGAGCTGACTAGGCACAGCAGCATGATAAATAACATTAATTAGATTTCTTACATGATTCTTGTTACAGTTTGGGACTAATAAAATTTTCTGCTGCTGCTGATCCCACAACAAGCAAGTATTGCCATTTAGTCTCTTAATATACTTTTAAGATATGACTTTACAGCACAGCTTCTAGTCTGAATACAAAGCATAAAATCCTAATTCCAGCTCTGCCACATCCTTTTGTGCACCTCTGTACACCTCCTCGGGCCTCAACTTTACAGTCTATAAATGGGACAAATTTCTGCTCCCCACCTAACAACAGTGTAGATTGCTCTCTCGCATCAGAAAGGCAATGGCACTACATCAGTAGTCTTCAACGTATGAAAAGACTAAAGGTGGTCAAACACTGGCAGCTTTGCCCAGGGATGTTGTGGAGTCCCCACTGACAAGAAACTCAAAGCCTGATTGGATGCAGTCCTAGAGACTCTGGTCCAGCTGGCCCAACTTGAGAAGGCAGTTGAACCAGATGCTCTCGAGAGACCTTCCAACCTAAATAATTCTGGGATTATTTCTAGATTAGATATCCCCAACTCCTGCCCAATTTCTGGAAGAAAGACACCACAAAAATTTTCTACTCCAAAGCTCTGCCTATTTCTTTCATAATGGAACAGATGCTTCCTTCTGAAGTTCTATGAAAACACTAAATTCTTTCCCCTGTTATTTAAGAATGCAATAACGTTATGTGCAATGTTATAATGAGTATAATGAGCTAGAATAGGAACAAGTCCCAGAAAGAAAATCACAAAGCGGAAGATTATAGCTAGAGCTCTCTCCCTCCCCTCAAGGAACTAGTCTGAACAATAAAAAAGAAATGGATTAGTAGAGAGGAAGTGTAACTCGTTTGTAGGTAAAATGATCCCCCTTTTTCCAATTTAATACCACTGTCAGTATTATTGTTGTCCTCTTCATCTGACACCGGGGAGAGAGAAATCTTACAGGAGGAAACCAGAAACGATTGCTTTATTCATACACCAGAGAGGTAACTATTTGAACTGGTAAAAAAGAAAGAATCCTAGGTGTAAGAGTGATATTAAGAAAGTGTGTATACTGCGTGCCATGCCCCCAAATTAGGTCAGATGCTACTTTCCAAGAAAATTCCTTCAGAGGCATATGATCCCCATAGGAGAAGTGAGTGCAACAAAAGTAAAATGTATTTCATGATAGACTTGATTGCTTTCTGAAGGGACACGGCTGCTTATGCTAGAGATACACTAGACTCATTTAACTGCAACTTTTCTGGCTTTATTTCCTACAGATCTAACTACCACCCCTTCAGGTTTAAATACAGAGTTGCTGTACCTCTATGTAGATGTATTTCTCTTAAGTAAGAAAGGACATTGATGCTTGTACAACCTACAGTTCTGGCTTTTAATTACTAAGCTAAAAGGAGAAAAAAATTTAAAAAACCCCAGGAAAAATAATTTCAAATATGCAAGTTTTATTTGCTGTTGTATGGGATTTGGCAATTAAGAGAAGAACACAATGAAAACTGAAGTAGGTGACACTATGTGGCAGCAACTGAAAATTATATAAAATAGATGAGTATAGAACTCACAGCATCATCTTGAGTTTTTATTTCTAATAGATGAAGGAACAATCATACAGAAACACCTCTGAGCTCATTCAAACTCTACATGCTAAAGCAAATACATACTGTCTGAATAATTCTTTGAAGTCTTTGATGGGACTTACAGAAGGCTTTCATTTCGTGTTACTGAGCACATGTATTATTTCTTTCCTATTTAAGAACACTAATTCGTTTACTTATTTTTAAACTATGAAGCTTTCAGATCTGAATGCAGTATTTCAAAACTGCTGAAATTTCCACTGTAGCCCATATGAACCTCACCTGATCAGTGATCTGCAGTTAGCGGACCCCCCAGTACATAAGATAAATCTAACAGTTCTATGTTGATGATGCTTTTTTCCTAATTGACTGAAATGCAGGCAACATCTCTCCAAAGAGGTCTGAGAGGTAAAATACAGGGAAGAAAGTACTGTTCTTACCACATACAGCTGTTTCCATAGCACGGCCCATTCCTGCAGTGTCGCTGTGACTTCAGTCACAACAGAATCTTCAAGTGGCACAACTGTTTCATATTGCCTAGACAAGAGGGGAAAAAGTTAGGAAAAGTGCCCTGGAAAAGGTAGAAAAAGAAACAAATGTCAGCACAGTGATTTGGGAAATGCTGCAACTTGAATTTGTTTGAATTTGTTCAACACAAAGGTAAATACCTTAAGAGGAACGTTTTGTCTGAAGCAACTCCAGAGTTGTATCAGCTGCTCCTCCATTACATTCCATAAGAACAGCTTATATGAAGCATTTCCCTGTTACCTGTTCAAAATCTGTAATTTCATTCTAATCAAGGTCAATAAAAACACCTTTCATGATTACAGCATGTTGAATTAACTTGCCTGTGAAGTGGGGTCTTCACAGGTTTGTATCCCTTCTCTCTAAGGCAGACCAACCTTTTTTCCCCCTCAAATTAATATGTTAGCCAATGTCATTAAATACCAAGAAGATCTATCATCTATTAATCTTTCCTATCCAGGAGACGTTTTCAGTACTGCAGGACACTAAAGCAGATCACAGGTTTCTTCCTATTATCAAGTCAAATACAGTTCTTTTCCAATATCCATAAAATGGTATTACAGGGAAAGGACTCAAAATAGTTCAACATTCCATTAGGAAAGCACAGAAAACTAACGGATGAAAGGAATCACACTATACTGTTCAGCTAATATGAGAGGAAAAAGCAAAACCAATGAAAGGTGTTTTTCCAAATATTATTACTAGAAATGTATTTATAAACTTTTGGCATGAGGGAAAAATAAAACATTCTGGAAGATCAGCCTTCAACAGTATGTCTGGATTTAAAAAGAACACACATCAGGACAACATTTAACCGTGTAAACTGGATGTTTTGCATCCCTCTAACCCTGTACTTCCTCTGTTATAACTACTGTATATTAATGAGATTACACTGGGTCTATGACTCAAATGTAAGATTATTATATACCATGCTGTCCTTGTTTCATCTGGGATATTCTTCCTAGTAACTGGTATCGTGCTGGACTTTGGGGTTAGGATGAGAATGATGCTGACAACATACCCTCGTGAATTAACCCTCTCCTGGGTTCAGCTGTAACAGTTACTTTTCTCCTTTTTAGTAGCTGGTGCAGTGCTGTGTTTTCAACTGAAGTGGACAAATGGCAGCCAGCCACACAGCCATTCCCTCCCCACCCCGTGGCGGGATGAGGAAGAGAATCACGAAAAGGTAAAACCCGTGGGGTGAGAGAACAACAGTTGAATAACTGGAAGTAAGTAAAATATTATCATAATAAATGTCCCTTATAAATTCTGAGCTAAGTACTAATTAATTACAGATTGCAGGAAATAAGTCTTCCCCCTAAGAAGAGTACACATTAGGAGTCATAATTCTATGCTATAAATATAATTTTATTACACCCCAAATTTATGAAGCATTAGTATTACAGCTGCCCTTAATAACCTTTGCACAGTCCCTTTGAGGGCAACATACAAAGCAAGACTATCAGAAGTCCCATTTTTCTACAGGTACTTCACTAAATGCCATTTAATGTGGTTTACGTTCCACATTTAATTTATTGCCTTGGGTCACTGTAATGCCGCACTTATCTCCCCACAGAGGCCTTACTCTAGAATTTGCAGGTTAGAAAGGCTGTGAAGACACAAGATATTGATTTCAGGAGTCTCAGTCAATCTCTCAGGAAACTTTGCAGGTTTTAGAGCCTACTCACAGCAAAATCTCTGACATTCGACTGCCATTAGTATTGCTATTCACATGGACTAAACTAGACCCACCTCCAACAACATACAAGCTATATATAAACACAGTGAAGGCACAGTATTTCCAGCAGTGTACTTCAGTTATTCTTTGGTTTGAGGTGTGGCAGGTTGGATCCTTTTGCAAAGTTGCAAAGTAACATGACTATGCCTCACTGAAACGCTGCTGGTACATGAGCTGGGCTGTCTACAGGCCAGTGCCTCCACAACAAACAGGAACACATGAGAACTTCACAAGCAGAAAGGAAAAATGTTTAATAGAGCTCTTGAAAATGCTTGTGTTCCAGGTGCTCATAAAACTGTACCTTTAGAGGTACCAAAAGTGAACAGGGGTAACCAAGAGAATTGAGTCTTGCTTTATTAAAGAACAAAAAAACCTCCCTAAAGCTCTGCAGAATTACATTTAATTTTCAAACCCTAATACACAAGCGACGATGAACTAAAACCACTCTATCAATTTTATTAACTAGTGCTTAGATTCCCTTCTAGATGACAAGTATGGCAGCTTCTTAGAAAGATGGAAAAATACTCACCCTCTGTTACTGACAATTGCCTTTTTCAAGTGAATATAGTTTGCAGGAAAAATCCCCTGCAAGAGAAAAATGTCTGTACATTAGAAAAATACATTTGCAGTTTATAGTGTTCATATCTTAAGCCACAATAAATAATTGTCAATATACTTATTAAAAAAACCCAAACCCTCTAACACTGTGTCAAAGACACCAGAGTCAAAAGACACCAAGCAATTAGTCACAAGTCATCACATTAGTCCTTCTTAGCACAGGACTGTACACTGAATCAAACCACCTCCACAGCTGCCTTGGAAGGAACAAGACTAATTTAAAAGCAAACATTTAAGTTTAGCCAATTGTCTTCTGACTGCAAAGACTGAGCCCAATAACCCAGTCAGGTGATGAGCAGGCAGGAAGGAGGTGTGTCAAGCAGGAGGAGTTCAGAGGACAGCTTGCAGTCAACAGAAAGAAGTAATAGAGGTAACTACGAGGGACATTTAGTGGAGAGATGCAAGTTAGCCAGGACAGCCAGAGAAGTGGCTATTGTGCAGTCTGCAGCATAGCATCAGTATCCTTCCAGACCAGGCCTCCAAATGCTACATTACATTAGATGACAAGGATGTAGGTTTAAAAAAGAAAATTATTAGTTGCATACATTGGAACTATCCAGTTTTCATCCCTCTTTCCAACACAAACCTGTTTAAACCCACTTGGTCTAGCTCCAGCTATTTGCCTTCTGCTTGTTCCCATGATGGTTGGATTCTAACCTTGCCTGTGCCATTGTGCTCTTGTGTGATGATACATGAGGAAAGAGGTAATATAAACCAACTTTTCATAGCAGTCCATTATCTCTGTAAATCCCCAGAGCAGACCCAGTGTGTAAGACCAGTAAGCCTGCACTTCCATGGTCATACAGGACCAGCATTGGCAATCTTCAGGTTAAAAACAACTGACAGCGCTCAAGTCACACTTGAGCTTTAAGTTTTTAGAGCTTTAAGCAGTACAATTTAGGAAGAAAAGTTTCCATGGAGGGGTTGAAAGGAATACTAAGCAAAGATGATTCAAAATGGTAACAAAAACTCTTCTTTCATAGGCAAGACTGAAATTGCAGAGGGGAAAAAGATGACTAACAGGAATGACTTCATCAGACAAAAAAGCAAATGTGCATGCTGTCAGCCACACAAAAGTCTGGAAAAGGAAGAAATGCTACTTCAGTTTCTGGGTTGGTTCACTTCCAGTTAATGCCATTTATTTCTGTGATCCTGTACTGGTTACCTAAGAAACCAAGGAAGCTTTGAAGAGCTCTCCTATCAAAACTGAACATACAGGCAAGCAGAAGTCACACCAACACACACACAATGAACGCAGGCTTTCCCATTAAGAAAGTATTATAGTCATGAAAGCATAATACAGGTAGTATAATATCCAATGATACAGGTAAGCATGAGGGATCTGGTACTCTCCTTTTTTAAACACAAGCTATGTTTAAACCAAATGACAATGAAGCGATGCTGACATAGAAGCAACTATCTACCTGTTTGGATATATACATTTAAAAAATATACATGCACTTGCAAATGATTCGTATCAGAACACTCAAAAATTCCTCTAAGAGCAATAAAGGGATATGACTGGAAAACAACCAAATGCAGTGCTTAAAGTATGAAAATCTGAAAAAAGAACAAACTCACAATACTCTTTTTCATGAGACTTTTTTCAAAGTCGTCTTAGATTAATAATGCAATTTTTAAAACATGTTCTTTAAAAACCCCGAGCCAAGCAGTGCTAGATCACCCATCTATGCTTTTAAAGAGAATTTGAAACGATGGAAAGATTACATGGTACATGTCAGGAAGTCTTCTGATCCTTTGGGTAACTAACAAGTGTCATTCTCTCAATACAGAAAACAAAGTCAATCCTCCCACAGGAAAACAAGTTAAAGAAGTAAAATCCTACAGGTGAGGAAAACAAAAAGTTTATTAGGTTGCAACAGCAAGATAGATATAGTCTCCCACTAGATTAGGAAGATGTATATACACTTACCTTTACATTCGGCTTCTTAATGGAAACACCTCTGTACCAGCCTGAAAACAGATAAACCACACTATGTTAATTTGTGGCATTGCCTACTTCACCCAGAAGCAAAGTGACTGAGAACTATGCAGCTGCTGAGATCATCTCCAAAACCAGCTGTGCCTCACAGAGGCCAAATGTTTTAAAGGGTTTGGGGTTTTGTCGCGTGTTTGTTTGTTCTTGGGTTTTTTTAGTTTTGTTTGGGGGTTTTTTGTGGCATTTCCTTTTAATTTAATATTCTTTCGCTCTGCAATGATGACAAGCAATTCAGAACCTGGAATTCTCAACATGAATAAAAGCAGCTTAGTATACTTAATTCACTGTACTCACACTCATTAGCCAGTGTGGCAAAGATGCATTCAGTCACTCCCGCAAGACTCTCTACTGAACACTTTCCTCATGTGCTGGTACATGAGGCTTTTTGTAGTACTTCTTTTAATAAAATCTCTAGACTTTAAAAACCTGTCTTTTTTAAGACAGGAAAAGCCATTACCGTGCATTTCTAGTGTTGTTTAAACAAACATAAATCCTTTATATGTGTCTGATCTTTGGTATGCCTGTGAGACTAGAGACCAGACTTCAGGATCTGAATTCACAAACCCCATTATTTCTCTTGTATTTATCAGTTAGCAGCCCCAGACAGTTCAATAAACCAGGAGTAAAAGTCAATGCTGCAAAAGCTGTAAGTTGAACAGAACCTAATTACTCCTATTTTGCACAGGTGAAAGTAACGTCACTCCATGCAAGGTTCATCAGGTCAAAGGTGCTGAAAACACCATCCAGTTCAACAACGGAAACGGAGCACACTACAGTCATCATGGTAGATGAGCTGCTCCTCCACCTCGTAAGACACACAATACCTGAATCCTTGTTTAAAATATGATGCTCTCCTCATATCTGGTCTAATGCTTCAGCCTCAGAATGTAAACCTAACTAACCATTAAGAACTGAGCCTGGAAGACCTCACAGGAGCATGCATGATGATGAGTTCCAGGGTGTGAGTTTTATGGAGGAGGCCTGGCCATGCCCAACAGTCAAGAGACCTACAGGCAAAGTTGGCCAGGCCCAACTACTATACAAGCAGCAAGTTGAACTGCCTGCACATCATCTTCTACCTACTGCAGCCCAGTATTCACACAGGCAAGAACCCAAACTTGGTAAAACTAAACTCAGATAACCTAAAGCCACTCTCCTTAAAAATCCTTTCTTTTTTTTTCCAGCAGCTTCCTATTTCTAAAGTTTTTCTTCCTACAGAGAGAGGACAGATATGATTTAGTACCTGCAACATTTACAAGAGCTCTAAGAAAACTTGTCATTAATTTACTGAGAAGAACAGAACAAAGTAACTGTGTATTTTGTTTCTCAGAAAAAGGACTTGATACTTGGCTGAACTATGATATGTCTCATCATAAGGCTCAGAAGTGGCAAAGAGTGCTTTGATTTTGTTTTAAATACAGCCTGCTGGGAAATGTGAGTCAATATAAAAGAAAATAATTGATGGATCCAAGACATACACAAATCTTAGCATGGAAAAAAATTAAACTCCATCTTCTTTATTAAACAAATTTCTCATTAAGATAGGACATATTTATTTTCCCATGGAATGACTACTTATATTTAAAAACAAAACTGTTTTCCATTTATTTCTATAACTGATCAAAAGTCACGGCAATCACATCAATATAAACATATGCACAAACACCACATACAGCTCCTTAAAATGGGTAATTTCCATTAAGTCCACACAACTTTGCCTGCAACACCTGTTTTTGAGTAACAGATGCTATGCATTTTTAAGGTCACAGGAGAAAACATGATGTATCTATCCTATGATTCATTATTACCAACATTAAATAACAGCCTGCTGCTAGCTTTTACACTCATAGACTCTGAATCTTAGAAACAAACTTACATTTCAACTTCAAGATACACAGAATGGCAAACTAAATCCGGAAAAACATGGTTTCACCTGAATTTGCGGAACAGAACCCAAGGTGTCTATTAATGATTTAGAGATAGGCAGGGTAGGGGATAAAACACGTATCGAAGAAAACCACCTTATTTATGAGTTTCTTGTTCTTAATCTCAAAACAAATCCTCAAAGCTGAAACGTGATGTGCTTACAGAGCTGTAAAAAACCGGAATGGAAGCACCCTTGAGAACTCCCCTAGCTCATGCCTTAAACCTCTCCTTGCAGAGGTTTCGCCTGTTTTTAAACAGTGTCCAGTGACTTATTATGAGGACTGAATAACACAGCCCCCTCCTTGCCTGTGGAAAATGATCCCCACAACATTCGCTAAACCTAAATTCCAAGGTATTTCTGCAAGGTATTCTAAGGAAACAGAGGGTATTTCTGCTGTTGCACACCTACACAGGTCAGTTTAAAAGTGGTGTGGTGTTGCACAGGTTGCTTAAAAACCTAGAATATTAATGTCAAGTGGAGATGCAAATCCTCACTGGGCAACCTATTACAGTGGCTCAGACAACGTACACACACCCTGTAAGCTGAACTTTCTTTGCTGCTATTTGCATCCAGGATTTTTTTCTTTTGGAGACAATGGAAAACATTTTATTGACTTCCCTTTTGTAGGTACTTTCATATATATGAAAATTCTTCTATTTTCTTTGTATTTTGTAGATTATGCTCTCCAAACCTTAGTTTTCCCTTTTTTTCAGTGTGGTATGTTTTTAGAATCACCCTTCTCTAAGTTTCCTCCAACTCCATGCAAGCAAGATAAAGTAAAAAGAGCTCATCAGAACCTGAATGCACTAAATGGTCATTCCTTATTTGCTTAAAGCAACCACCACCAAAACCTCACTCTGTATCTCAAAGTAAAAGCTATGAGAAAAGGCACAATGCTTTAAAAAAAACCAACAAACCACATATAGAAAATGACATCTGCATTCCATTTTTCACTAAAATGCACTAAACCTTCATTCTTGAATTAAGTCTTAAATAGATTAATACTCATTTCATAATGTATTTTAAAGAACATTTATTTTGGAAGATTCAATCACAACGGTCAACAAATCCAGGCGGGTGCTCCAGCTAGTTGTGATTAAAACATGTGCGACATAGTTAAACCTCAATAGTGACTATGGTTTTTAGATGTTACTATATTACAAATAAGTAGTTGTTAACTCTTTATGGCTTTCATTTTCTAGTGGTACATGGACTTTAAAGGGTTCTGACTTTAAGAAAATGGTGAAAAAGATGGGATTTAAAATTTAAGAATCAGAGAAACACGGTTACAAAACTACAAGAATTTTGTAAGTAAGTTGATGTGAAATAACAGTCATAAGTATCCACAGTTTGAACAGACAAACTGTCTAGTAATTATCAGTAACTAACAAGAATTTGAAGACAGATGAAGTTAAGGCATAGGACCAGAGCTGGAACAGAGAAAAGCTGTACTTCAAGCACATAACGCCTTCCCCCATCTAATTTTCTGGCAGCAAAGAATATCCTCAAGCTACCTGGCCTAATGGATGACCTAGGGAAAGGAAGACAGGTAACTCTAACTGGGTTTCAAAAACTAAATCTTCCATCCTGGGTCTGGCTAGGATGGAGTTAACTTTCTCCACATCAGCCTGTCTGGTCATGCATTTTGGGTTTCTGGCTAAAAACTGCTATTAAGAGACCAACATTTTGCATTTTGACTACATCTCAACGGTGCTTGTACAATACCAAGGCTTGCTCTTTCTCCTGATGTGCTGGCCCCTAGCAAGTAGGCTGGGAGTAGGCAAGAAGCTGGAAGGGGCTAACTGAGATACCTGACTTGAATCAGCTAAAGGAGTAATATTCCATACCATATAACATAATTTAGTATAAGAAAACAAAAAATTAGTCTATTAAAGCACCACTTTAAACAACACCTTATTCAGGATAGGAAGGAGAACATTAAGTATGTCCCACACTAGTCTGATGAATTTCACATCAAAATAAAGTAGACAAAATGACAAAGGCATCCTGTAAGAGGCAAAAATACCTTCAATGATACCAATGACACTGCAAGCAAACTTTTGCTTCCTTTTTGTCTTTCAGCACAGAGGAAGACAGGCACAGGATGAGCTTACTGCTGCCATCACTGCACTGTAACAACTGAAGAAAGTGTTGTTATGTCTGAACATTTATGAGGATGCGAGGAACAAATGCAGCACTTTGCATTGCATCTTAATGTTGCATCAATGCGTATTTCTGGGTAAATGTCATGACAAAGACACCTACATGATAAATTCTGATGAATGGCAGGGGAATGTGGTTTGTTTTGAAGAAACTGGGTATGACAGGATCACAGAATGGTTTGGGTTAGAAAAGACCTTAAGACCATCCAGTTCCAACACTCTGCCATAGGCAGGGACACCTTCCACTAGGCCAGGTTACTCAAGGCCCTGTCCAACCTGGCCTTGAACAGCACAGGAATTACCTATGCTTTCCCAATTTAACTGATTTTGAACACCTCATGTTTTATATCCTCACTATGCCCAAGACAAACTTTCAATCCAAGTACTCTAAAAGAAAACAGAATGAATCATATCCATTCCAGTGTGCTCTGGACAAGTCAACTTTGTTGCAAACTATTTCAACCTTGCTTTTGCATGGGCTGCCCTGCACACTGCAGAAGATAAATTAACCAAGCAGACTACCCAAAGTGATACAACCACACTGCACAGTGATCCATCCCAGCTAAACCTGCCATAGAGCCTAAACAGGATGTTTCTTAGGTGAAACACAGAACCCAGGAAAGAACACAATCATTTGCAACTGCTTTTTTCAATACCATCCAACAACATTTGATACAAGCTAAGAAAAGTGAAGAGCAAGGTGCTCTATAGCTCTGCTCGCTGTTTATCCTACCCAGCAAAGAACCCCTCAAGGAGCTGCAAGAAGAATTACTCCATGGTAATAAAATCTCAGGAAAACAGAAGGAAAAGTGCCCCATTATGCCTGTTCCCCTGCACATCAAGACCAGCACTTACTTATAACGTTTCCTTCCAAATGCATTGTCTG